CGAATCAATTGATTTATCAATCATTCATCACATGGGAGGGGGGGGGGTGGGGGTGTTAGACATTGATCTACCAATCTTTAGTCCCGAGCAAGCTCTCAAGCCAGTCCCTTTGCTTCGCAAAGCAAACTCAAGGTAGTCCTTACCAGGCTACCTTTCGTGACAACTGAAGATCCATTACTTCAGAGTACCTTGTGAACTCACCGCAAGTAGTGTGAGTTCCACACAAATCTCCAGATCACCACCTAGTATCCAAAGGAGGCATGGGAGACAAAGCAGAATCATCTCAGCCCAGCACCCGGAAAAGCCATGGGAGACGAAGGGAGACAAAAGGAGACCAAAGGCCAGAAATCCTCTTGGCCCAGGATTGTGTCTATGCAAGACTTGTGAACCCCGGCCCAGGCAAAGCTGTGTGGAGAAACATCTGGACAGCGGCCTCAGCGGCCCCAGATCCAAGCTTGGGCTGCGCCCAGCGCTTCCCATCACCTCCGAAAATTCTCCATCCAGGTGAAACACCAAGCAGCAAACCAGCGAAAAAAGGAACCAAAACCAGACCTCCAAATCTCCGGAAAACCTTCTCATCGTCCCCGGAAACCCATCTTCGAACCCACCTCCACCTCCCCGCCTGCCCCCCTTCCACCTCCACCCCGAGACCGCACAGACCCGCCGGATTGGCCCTGTCAGGCCCAGCAGCCAGTTGAAGGAGAGCTCAGAGGCGCTCGCAATGCCCACACCGCCAATGATCGGCAGCAGAGAGGCATAGACTTGCCAAGGCATCACCTGGAGGATCGTTCGGAATCTGCGCACTCAGATACTGGGCAGACAATCCGTTTCATACAGGACCATAGGATATTATGGGTGGTCAAAAACTATTTGTGGGCCCATGGAATTTAGGATGGAACGGCAGCACAGTTGAGACCAAGTAAGTTAGTTTCATGTTAGGCCCAAAACAACTCAGCCTTTGCAAGTATGCCTGGGAGTTGCATAATATAATGTCCTACCATCCCGTTAGTTGGGCGGGTGAGTTGCTTTCAGAGCAAATCCAAAGACCCGCCGGCCCTCCCCAAACACACCTGACATTGATTTGGGCTGCGAAGACACCTCCTCCCTTGACCCCATTGGGTAACCGTCTTCACACTCGTCTACACTTGTCATCACCTGTCTTCATCAAGTTTTGATCTACACCCTCAAAATCCAACACCAAACCTCCCGGAACAAATTCATTCATGTCCCTGGGGGGTCCCGAACCTTTCTGTTGGTGCTTGGGGGTCCCGTCTTTCTCATGCTTTTCACAGCCTTTCACAGCCTTTCAGCCCACGGATTCGACACCCGAAACGCAAAGTTCAGGAGGCACCTCCCCAAGGAAGGCGAAGTTCAGGAAGGAGCTCACCACGGGCTCACTGGCCTCAACGGGGCAAGCTTCACACGTGCGTGTGGTGGGTCGGAGAGAGATGAGAGTCGGAGAGAGATGAGAGAGGTTCTGGTTGAACTCGTTGGTAAACGAACAGAGAAGAGCATTAATCAGTGGGATCAATCGTTAGCAAAGGTAGAATCATCTCATCTCTGACACCACCACCCAGAGAAGAAACCTCTGCTGTTGGATGCTGTCGGGGAAAAACCTCACGATGTTGTTGCCAAAAGAAGTCGAGCCTCATCTGATCTGATTCTTGGTCGTTTGACAGTATCCAAGCCACCGACTCTATAAGTACGTAGATGGTTTTTTTTGTCGTTCCAGCACACCGTAGTCCATGTCATGCCCTTATTCAACAGCTTCATTCCAGCAAGGAGGATCACGAGACTCACGACGAGTGACGTGGTGGACACGGGCCTGGGGCGGGTGCGAAGCAACGTCTGACTCCCATGGCCGGACATAGCGTTGGACAATGACTTCAGGCGAACACCACAAGGCCACCCCAAGTCGAAGGACCGTCCTACCCGCATCGTCACAGTGAAACCGAACCCCCACGGTTGGTTTTCACATCACCGGAGCGGGTCGAGGTTGATGAAAAGCATGTCCACCTACCCTGACGACGGTCACTCGGTCGATTCATCAATCTCCTCGCTGCGGAACCGGGCCTTCACAATGTGTCCGAAGGACACGGCGCCGGCGAAGAAGGCGACCACCTCACGGCAGGCAGCGGTTTTCAGACGATGGCGCCACCGAAGGCAGCCTTCAGGGTTTGGGACCTGTTTTCACTGGAGAGGCTCCAATGGAGCTCCTCCAAAAACCCATGGTGGACACCAACCTCCGGAGACGAAAAAAAGGCGCGGCGGCGGCGGCACCAAGCTCCGCGGCGGCTCCGATCGTCGCATGGGGCTCAACTGGGTGAGCGGTCACCCCAACACCTGGGAACCTGTGAACACCGACCTCCAGGTACTAGGCTGCACCTGCATATCCACATGCAAAGGCTTGCATTACACGGATCGCCTCGTGGCTGGAAAAAGCTTGGTCTTAGACAAAACACGAGAGAACAGGCCCTCCGCTACTTGACACCCGCGGTCGCTCACCTCCACCACTTGGCCCAAACCCACAGACTGTTGGACCGTGCAAAGAATCACGGTTGTCCTGACCGAACCCTGTAAAAAGGGAGAAAGACCGCTGTTCCTCTCGATAGTCCTCTCGATCTCCCATTTGGTCCAGCGGGTTTTTCATCCCGCTGTCGGGTACGGCCTGTCTGTCGGCCTGTCTGGAGGGACTGTCTGGGGCCGTTCCCCACACGCTGGGCCGAGCGCCCCGGTCTCAGCGCCCCCACCGCGCCAACGTGGGTAGCAAGGTGGCCGAGCCTGCCGAGCAAGCGGTCTTTTCTTCTGAAAGATCAAGAATTGGAGGGCCGGGCAGGGCAAACACGAAATCTTCGCCATGCTCACATGAAGATCAAGAATTCGAAAGCGCCCATTGCTTGACTGGAGCTTGGCGACTTGCGCCAGAAAACACCTGGATTGCAAATAGAAAAACCGATGCATTGCGGAGGCCTTTGTGGCCTGGCCTGGACCTGTCAACCGCCCCCGTGGTGGACCGGTCTAACCATCCATGGGCGATGGTTTGGACCCACCCCCAGCAAACCAGCCAAGTGTGAAATGGGTGACACACCTGTGACACACTGTGTTTTGACACAAACAATCCTGCCAATGGGTGGTGCTTCTTTGCACCTCCGCTGTGAAGCTCTGAAGCTTCGCGTCTGAGCTTCACGTCTTCGGGAAGAAACATAAAGGTGGACCACACTGCTCCAGTGGGCTTAGTGAGAGAAATCACTGGGTTCATGGAACCAATGCTTCCCTGCTTTGGGGATCGAAAAATGCTGAAGAGACAAGCTTCAGGGACTGTTGGGGGCTCCAACAACAAAACAAAGAGCCTCGCAAGAATCCACCTTCATCTGTGCTGCGTATTGCAAGCCATCCTTCCCCCATTGCAGAAGCCATTCCCTCTGGAGCCAAGCACATGATTTTGCTTCCAAAAGGTGGTGGTCCGGACACCAAATCAAGCACGTGATCTACTCTTCTGATCTATAGTGATCCATAGCGATTCTACTCATCTCAAGCTTCATCCTCTACTCCTCTACTCATCCACCCTGCCACGCGCTTCTCTCCTCTACTCCTCTGAGTCTCCGAGCGCCGCCGGCGCCAAGGTCACGGCTTGGGACACCGTGAGCTTCGGGGTCTAAGGTGGCGGTGCCGATGGATGGTCAAAAGGTTCTTATGAGAATTGAATATGAAAAAATGTTTTCTTCTTGAGAATGATTGCCAAGATACGTAGCAAGGATGCGAAGTTTGACCCACCCACCCCCTCTCAGCGACGTGACCCCTGCAATCCCAAACGCCAAGCGCTGGCAAAGGTGTGGGGACTTTCTTCTATCGGCCAGTGGATTTGGGTTCCATGTTGCTTTGGGGATTGTGTCCCGAAAAAGATCCTCAACTCAACCAAACCCGGTTGGGAGGAACCTTCTCGATCCAGTCCGAAAGCCAGGGCAAATAACACGACTCATCTCAGCCTTTCTTGTACCGGGTGGTGGTGTCAACCATCTCAATTGTACAAGCATTCCAAAATAGGGAGGTACATCTTCCAACTCACCCTCACCCTTTTCCCGCGAGTGCTGACAGTGCTGAGTGCAGATATATATATATATATATATGACAATATACATCTTCTACCCCTCTCCAGGAGGCGCTCCTTGCGGACTCGCAAAATCCACAGAGGGCAGAAGATCAGCCAGCCGAAGGTCATCTGCCACATCGCGCATGCCCAAGGGAAAGGATACGAGATCCTTGGGCGGAGCTCCGTGCGCGGCCGGTCAACTGATCGTCCGTGGCTTATTCCCCCTGGTTTCTCTGAAGCCGGCAGACGGTAGAAAATGGCTGACAATTCCTGTAGTCTGAGCGTTGGCCCAAAAAAAGGTATAGAGGATGAACCTCTTTGCATTGCTGGTATGACAGCTTTGCACTGACATAAGATGATGATGTGCACCAAACAGTGGGCCGTGGAGGGGCTGTGGGCCAGGGGGTGCTGATGGATATATGGACCCTCAAAGCGCAGGCATTTTAAGTGCACTGCAAGACCGCACCCGAGACGAAGGGACAATCTGTAGATCTCTTGAGACCAAAAAGGCGTCGAGGAATCAGTTGTTGTGCAAGTACCAGCAGGAAGATTCCTAACCTAAGCATATTATATATATATATATTTAGAGATAGATAGATAGATAGATAGATAGAGATTAAGATCAAGATTAGATTGATTTAGATCTAGATCTAGATCTAGATCTAGATCTAGATTAGATAGATAGATCGATGGATGGATAGACAGACAGACAGACAGACAGACAAACAAATAGATAGATAAGTCCAATCATCACTAGTGGTATCTAGTGGCGGATGATGATGCTTAGTAAGGGCCCAGACTCCGTCACGAAGTGATCAAGCTATAGCTGACGAATGGGGAATGGGGATCAAACCCTTCAACCCCCCCGAAGAAAGCCTCGTTTGGGAGGAAAAACTCACCCGCGGTTGACCGGCTCGGGCCAAGAAATGGCCGCATGGCGGGAGCTGCCTTTGTTCCAAGGCACAGGGCCTTCTTGTTGTAGATGTTGTATCCTCAGGTGCGACTTGGAAAAAGTGTGCGTGTGTGTGTTGAAATGGTGAAAGTACTTGAAAACGCCTTGAGAAGATGACAAACCGGACCACTCCGCATATGTCACACGCTACCACCCGCGCCATCCCCCGGCCTCCACGTACCCTCCACCGGATCCAAAGGGAGTGGTGGAAAGGGATCCGAAGGGTCCGTTCTTTTTTTCACTCCCACTCCTCCACTGGTTTCAAAACGTACTATATAGATATATAATGATCATATAATGATCATATATCATTTATATATATATATATTCACAAATGTGATAAGACATAGACTTACTATATACTCCCCGGAGGTCTCTTTTTGATCCGACCTTTCCGGGAAGAGAAACATGGAAACATCGAATCATCGAACATCAGGGACGAACCATCCATGGCTAGTCCATCGCTCTGAGAGCTGGGGAACCCCACCGATGTTGAAGAGGTACCAGAGGCCGATGTAGATCGCTACGCCATACTTGTCCTCAGCGGCGGACGGTCGACTGGACGACCGGGTCGCCGGCGTCGACGGGTCGTGCCTGTCGACGCGTCGATGCGGTCTCGGTGGTTTCATCGTTGGTTTCGTCGAAGCACGCACATGTGGAGTCCCACATCTGTCCACATCCGGAGGGCTCCACAGACTCGTCTCTCGCAAGGACCATAGGAAGGACCATGGT